CCGTCCTGGTATCAAAGTCACATGGTGGTAAATCTCGCTGTGATCCACAAGGGCTGCGATTGCCTGTGGTGCTGAAGACCAGGGGCAGGCTTTGGCCAGGCTGACCTCGGGATTTCAGGGAACCACAATGGCTTAACCAGAAAATCTCCGTAAAATCGATGTTGTTCAAGGGCACGCACCAGTGACGACGGGCCATTCGAGTATCTCACCATCATTTTCGCATCATTTGGCTTCAAAGGTATTACCTAGAAGGAAACATATTTTGGCTAAGCCGTCTTTATTTACCCCTCGTGGGTGGTGAGTTTCATTCAGAAATTTGTTTGCGATTTCAGTGTAGCAGTTTGGAAGGTTTAAGTGGTCTATTGGCGCAGTACACATCTAATTCAGGAAGAGCACACCTACCTAAAGGCAGTTGTTGAAAATTGTGTTCCAGAGATCGTAGGAGGTGTTAATGAGCTCTTCACTGCTTTGAGCGAAATATGGCGCTACAAGTGTTTCTTCGACTTTTGTCGCACTTGATACACACATCTTGTATGTTGCTACTGGTCGGAAACTGAGAAACTAACTCGTGAATGAATCCGCTGCCACGTCATTTACCGCTCGTTTTAATTTCCGTTCGAGTATTTTGGGGAGAAAATGTGTTTTACAATTGTTTTTATGAAAGTTTTGAGTTTCAAATTCATTACAATATGGTCGTTCTTTGCCTGTTTATATTGATTTACGTCGCGCAAATGATGAAAGCGGTTGCCTTTAACACATCATTGAAGTTAGACATGGCGGTAGGCGGCACTCAACTTATTTCTACTTGTAACTCCGTCCTTCAACTCCTTTGAGATAGCCAATTATATGTCTTGCTTTTTTTCCGCGTATACACAGAGATTTCTGACTTCATGAATTTTTCCCATCGTTGGTGGGTTGAACATAAAAAAGAATACAGCTCTCGACGTTGATTAATCCCTGAGGGGTGCGCCATGCATTCGACTTCATTAAGCATTGTTAGGACGTGAGTGAATGCATATCTGGCCTTCACAATGATTCACGGTGGCCTACCAATATATCGAGCCACTGTCACTATCCTCCCAGATAAGTCTGATATCAGTTTACCGACCTTGGAGGGTTGGAAGGCTTGATGAGTCATGTGCGCGGGGATCGGCTCCACGCGTGTGTTACAAGGCGCCTCCGACCACTGCGCCACGCGCGCCTCCTACACACGAGTTGGACATGGTGTGCAAAAATTTGTGCACTTGACCGATTCAGAAAATCACTAGGTACTGCGTGATTTCGCTAGCAAAACTCTGGTCGTGTTTATGAAGCATGTGACATCAGAACTCTAATTGTCTTTATAGATAGAAACACTGTATTAGGAAGGTGGCTTTCACTGGTTTCAAGTCATCGTAAGCAGACAAATGACGTTTTTGTCTAAACTTGAACCTGTTATTATTTAAGAGATCACAGCACGGAAAACATTTTTCGTCGTTCACTACGCGTTGTCAAGGTGTTTGACGATCCATCTTCAAGTTATTCTATGATTTATGGAACAGTTGCGACTCTACTAGAGTTTGCTACCGCAATCGAAGTGAGTTCAACATCTGCTTCCTTTGCATTTCAGAACCGCAGTGACAACTGGGTTCGGAAATCCAAATGATGTAGTTACATTTACATTTTTCGTGTTGAGTCACTGTTTTCTTCGCGAGCAGATAAGTAGCTGTTATTACAATAATTGTTTCACAGTAGCTAACACATCTGCCATTTTCTCGTAGTTCAGAGCCCATACAGACCAAATTGGTGAATAATCTACTCAGCGTATTGCTCTCATAACAACAGCAGCAGAAACTCCACACCTAAATTTTAAGCGCTTAGGAAACAGCTTCTTTAGTCATTCGTTGTTTCTTCTGTGTTTTGAATTTATTAGTGGAGACCAACCGCGAAAACTTTACAAGGGTAAGAAAGGTTTTTGTGAAGGGTTAAAGATTCAACGAGAGACTCAGTAACAAATAGGAGCATTTAATTACACGTCTTTGCTTTCAAGGAGGCTAAGTCACTGAGACGTTACCCATCGAATATCAAAACCACGTGCTAACAACCTCATGTCGGCTCGTAAACGAGAACTTCTAAGATTAAATACTGTATGTCCATTGAGTGCTACTCGTAACGGTACGGCTCTGAGGAAGGCGAAGTCGCCGAAACGTCAGCCATCGACCAACAACAACAACAACAACAACAACAACAACAACAACGAAAACGACAACAAGAGCAACGACGACAACGGAAGCTTGTAAGAAACTCGCATCAGCCCAACAAAATAAGTTTATCAGATCATATAAATAAACATGAATATTGTATGGTTGACACTGAACCACTGATCAGTCACTCAACCCTATCTTCGCGGTAGAATGCTTTGCAACTTTTCCATTTTATCTCTTCGGCTTGCAACTGCACTGCATAATTTTACTATACTCATTCGAACTCATTCCGCTGAGATGACAATCGCAGACCAACACGCGCAAACAGATTCTCACAAGCTGTACACTGATCTGGTAGTAAGGTTTTCCTTCACTTTTTGTTTAATCTCAAGAACCATTGTTTGAGTGTATCCATGCTTAATTATGTTTGTCGTGCTAAGGTTTTGATGATTTCACTGTGTCTGACAGGACTGACACAATAGAAATAATGCGCATGGATGCATTTCCTTCCGATTCCTTACCATGGCGGTTTTTTGAATTACTTTCTGTGTTTTCCTTTCTTTCGCTTTCAAATCGTTGGTGTTCCTTCTTGAATACCACACCCGATAAGGTTTGAGAATCCTTTTTGCCGATTTTGCAGAAGCAGTAATGCAGATGGTTGCCGATTGTGAAGAATGTTTTGAGAAACATCTTTTCAGAGGATCTGAATTTGTTTTAGGAAATGAGAGGGTCAAAGAAGTAAAGCAGAAATGATTTGATGAAAGCAGTGGTTCCGTTTGGCTAATGTTAGGTGTTATAAGAAGGTTGTCATCAGCAAGGCGAAGATGGTATATTTGCCGACCATCTACTTTCACTATTCATTTATATGATCTTATAAACTGATCTTTTTTAGCTGATGCGAGGTTGGTATAGGTCTTCGTTGTCGTTGTTGTTGTTGTTATTGTTGTTGCTGTTGTTGTTGTTGGCCTTGTTGGTCCACGGCTGACGTTTCGGCGATTTCGTCTTCCTCAGAGCCTTGGTGATACGAGTGGGACTGATGTGATGAGTCAGATGAGTATGTACGCTTATGAACAAGTAGACATAGAAGCCGTTGCATCGATCAAGATCAAATAGATTTATGTATCTAAACAAAATGTGAAACTAGCAGACACGTTGGGATGTTCAATTTTTTAAGCGAAACCCTAGCCCTTGCATTATGCCATGCTTGGCATATATATATATACATATATATATGTATATATATATACATATATATATATATATATATATATATGTATACCATGCCTTCATGCATGTAAAAAAATTTTTTCCTCAAAACTTTCGAGCAGGTTTAAGAATTTGCGAGACATCAGCACGTTGAAAGGATTTCCTATATAGAGAAAAATTATACAATCTTCACTTAATAAAAAATATGCAAGCTATGGACATTGCAGCAGTCAGGACATTATTTTGCTGACTTTGCTGACTATGAATCAGAAAACGTCACAAAACCAGCAATTGGTGGGACTTACTCAGGTCGGTAGTCGGCTGTTGGGCAGATGCCGTTCTTGACAATATCACCCAGGAATATTATCGGCCTCTTCAACATTTTCAGCTTAGCGTTGTGAAAGCTGAGAGTTCAAAAGTCACCAAGAGATGCTAGGTCTCCAGAAATACTCGAGATGATATAACAGCGTGAAGTCGCACGAGCTACAATGAACCTCCAGCTCACTTCCGAACTTGTAAAACAATGCAGAAAGGCCGATAGAAGAAGATCGAAGAGAGATAAAAATAGCAGCCACGGTAGAAACTGCAGAGAGTGCAGAGAGCGTCAGCAAAACCAGCCGACGTTTCGCCAGTTGCAAAACCAAATGATTGCAGTCCGATGTCTAGACGGAAGTGTTACAGCTCGCAGAAAGGCAACGGAGAAAGTCATTCACGATTACTACTCAGGTCTCATAAATATCCTTGTCTTACTGTCATTGCATGAAATAAAGGAAGATGGATATGTCGTGCAATCTTTTCCGCCTTCCAAAACGCGGCATACTATTTCGTCAGAGAAAAACTGCACAATGTCAGTCCTGCACACGTTAAGGCCTGAACGCCTGAAGAACATTCCAGCAGTCCTCACAAAATTACTAACTCAGCTCTTCATAGGTTTCATCTCTGAATTAAAGATTCCTACTCAGTGGGAGACTAGCAAGATGGTCTTGTTGTTCTAGAAGGGTGACATCGGCAACTATCGTCCAATCTGCTTGCTGTCTGTCGTCTATAAACTTTTCTAAACAAGATTGACGGAACAATGGACGAAGAACAGTCATGTGAACAGTAAGGCTTCCGAAGAAGATTAAGAACAATGAAACGCATCCACACAATAACAAGATCCATTGATGTATGTGGAGAGAACAAGAGACCACTCTGTTCATTTTCAGCCATTTAATGTACGGCTTTTGACTTATTGTCACCTTTTATTTACTGCTTATTACAATTTTGAAAAAAAAAACGATGTTCGTTAGAAAGGGATTGATTTCATATGTCCCATTCACGCTCATTGAATCGAATCTCTCCGAATATTTGAGGTACACCCGTCTAGATCGGTAAATCAACACGATGAAGCCCAAATTTTCGGTCCCACGATTCCTCCTGCTCTAGCACGTGCGTCAGACAGCTAATTACTGCGTAGCCAGAAAGAGAGCTCACTCAACGTTAGCGCGTACTCGTGTAGGCGATAATAGCAGTATTACGTATCACCCAAATAACAAAGGAAATTTGATGTTTCGATCTGCGTCAACGATCAAGAGTCAGAGACGCCGTTTCATACACCAAACCGCCGAAGATATGGTGGACCCGACGCATCATGCGGATGAACGACAGCCGATGGCAAAAGCAGTTAGTGATTGGATTGTTCGGGATGTCAAACGTCTTGCAGGAAGACCACCTGTCCGCTGTTTACAGTTCTTCACGAAAACCCGTGAAGAACAGCATGATGCTCGACGAATCCTTGGAGCGAGCAAAGCCTACTCAGCCACTTTTGCACGCGGTAGGAAGAAATAGAAGATTTACTGGCGCTCATTCGCTTTACTCGACGATCAGAGGAACGACAAGTGATACTGGTGATCCGTGCTCCATTGCACATATAACACTGCAACACCTTTGAGTAAAACGAATAGGCGAAATCAACGGAAAGAACAATGATGAGTTTGACTTTAAATCGAATTCATCACAAGAACTGGATTTCTTTTGAGTCTTATCTTTTAGCGACCATACGGCATATCATCTTAACCTTTTTATTTACTGCCTATTCTTTTTAACGGCAGGGTATTTTGCGAAATATAACTATTGTAATGCTGAGATATTTGCAAAACTCTGGACCGCTGGTGTCTGTGATGGGGAACGAACGCGCTATTGTCCTTTCCGAGGAGTAACACGTTCACCACCACACCATGCGGGTTCTTCGTTTCGCTTGTCTCTCGGCTAGTTCTATCGATCTTTTGCCATCAGCAATCACCTGTTAGGAGAGACAGGCGAAACGAAGGCTGCATATTATGTTCGTATTTTTGTTGAGCAAACGCGAGGTGTTATTATTCTTTGTTCACGATTAAGCTGACGTTTCGGCGAATTTCGCC